ATATATATATATATATATATATATATATATATATAAGAAAGATAGAAAGAAAGAGAAAGAAAGAAAGAAAGGAAAGAAAGAAAGAACAGACTGATGAATAGCATCTTGTCTGTTGCTCATTAAATACAATGATTTATATGCTTGTCGTGCTGCTGGTCTCAGTTTGAGATTTTTCATTCCCATTGCATTATTTCATTTTTGGGATATTAAATCAGGTTTAAGTAAATAAGTCATCAGTCATGAGATCATCAAAGAATATAGCTTTGAAAAGAAATGATTTAATACTAATGCAATTCTTAAAAAAAAGAGAAGGACATGCATTTTCCATATCATTTATTTGTTTATATTCTACAAAAATTGAAGTCAAATTCCACATTTTTCCACACTTTACCAAATTAAAAGCATAGCCTGAATCAGATAGATAATCTGTCATTAATGGGGTACATTGATTCTACTGTTGTTTGTACTGTGTTACCCAAAGGCCTCTCCTAATTGCAGATTCTTATCTAATTTTAATCACTGCACTACCAGGATAGAGGGGAATGCATTGCAGATTCTGTACGAAGTGGGCTTTTATGAGTTTGAATGGTAGACAACACAAAGGAGTGCTGCAACTGACGAATGAACAGACTATTAATTAAACCCATACCTGTCCCCTTTCTGGAGTACATTCTTTTCACCTTTTTTCTCCCTGTCTGTCTCTCTTTTTGTCTGACAGAGACAGTGATGGATACAAGGACAGCAACAGCTGAGCTTGGCTGGATATCGTTCCCCGCCAATGGAGTAAGAACAATTTGCAATAGCTGCACTGTATGTGTGTATTGGTCTGTGTGTGTGCAGCCACCCATGGGGAAGCAGTTTTTATGACATTTTACAGAGTTCCATTAAGGAGTCAGTCAAAATTTTAATTACAGTGCCAAGGTGACATCAATTAACCACTACTGATGCAGAAAGAAAAAAACATTTGAAAAGATCAGAATAGTAAGGCAAATTAGTCTGTAATAGAAAAGAATGAAATGAAATAGTATGTAAGATTTTGATTTAAAATCTAGCCGCTTGCTGAAAATGTAGGCTGACAGCTAGCTGGTCAAAGTGGTCTGCCTTGTGAGTGTATTTGAGGTGAGAAGCTCTAATTGTGATGAATGATTGTCTCAATGCGGCACAGAGAAAGTTAGAGCAGAGAAAAAGACAATGAAAAAGGGAGAAAGAGGATGGGGGGAAAATTGGGGAGGTGTGATAGAGAAAGTTTAATTTGTGTTTGGTCTTAGTAAACCCATTTATCATCTCTGTCTTACTGCCTCTCCCTCTGCTTCCTCTCGTCTTATACTCCATTGCCCTATCTTCACCCAAACATTGCCTAGTGGGAGGAGGTGAGCGGCTATGATGAAAACCTTAACACCATCAGGACTTACCAGGTGTGCAATGTGTTTGAGCCAAGCCAAAACAACTGGCTCCTCACCACGTATATCGACCGGCGGAATGCACAACGCATCTATGTGGAGATCCGCTTCACAGTACGGGATTGTGCTTCCATACCAAGTGTTCTGGGCTCCTGCAAAGAGACATTCAATCTTTACTACCTAGAAGCTGACAGGACTATGTCAGAGAGCATCAAAGGGGTGGAGTATTGGGCCAATGCCCCTTTTTTAAAGGTAAGCTCAAAGATGAAAGTCAGAAGAAATTATTATGTATAGAAATAATGATCTAAAAGTGTTACAGATAGATTTAGAAGTATTGTGTACTTTTTCATGTCACAACAGTCAAACACACAACTCAGGCATAACATCCTGACCTTATAGAGCTTTTTGGACAAAAAACAGCCTGATACGCCATTAAGACAATTGCAAAATCCCTAAATGCTTTGAAGTGTCTTACATCAATATGTTAGCGGCAAATCTTTTAAATCCTTTAAGGCAAGGCCTCCATGAAATGAAATAGTTATTTCACCACTTTTCATAGTCCATTGGGTTAAAGTATTACCTTATAGTGCCACTGTCACACCATGATGGTTTAGACCAGTGTATGCCTGACGTACAGAAAAGCTGGTAAAAAAAAAACGTTATCATATGTTGGATAAGTCATGGATATGTTCAAATTTTTGGGAATGCTGAAGTACGCTGAAGCACGCTGACAGACATAGACATAGGGCAAGTAC